GCCGGTATCAAACTCCATAGCTAGCTGCAACCCATTTATCTTCGCATCGATGGTTGCTTTATTTGAAAATGACAGGCGAGGTGTCCGTGGCAGAATCATTTGTATGGCAGTTCTACAATCTTTCGCTATGTGGTTTGCCTTACCGCAACGAAAGCATATCACTTTCTTTTGAATAGAGTTAGGTTTGATACTAGGTCTATAATTATTATTAGGAAAATTGTTACTAAAGTGTTTATTATTATTGAATCTATTGATGTTTGTATAATTATTATTTCTAAAATAATTATTTTTCGAACCCTGTGTTGGCTTATTTTTAATTATTTTATTAACTTCAGTCTGGGTTTCATTTTCCAACGAAGACAGCGCGATCGCTAAACGCACAGTCTCTTCAAAAGTAATATTGCCTTCGATATACTTTGACCGAAGTTCTTTGTCCAACTCAGGTAAGCCTACTCCTAGGATAAATATATCTCTTAAAAGTTCATCAAAAGGCGGTTTAAAATTACAAAGAGAACAGACAGTTTTAACCCTAATTGAAAAGTCAATAATCGTCTCATTGCATCTTTTTAGCGTAAAAAAAATTTTCCTATTTACGAAAATGCTCGAACTATCCTTGAACACCAAATTTAAGCTTTTTATTAAAGTATCATAATTTATCATCTCTAAATTTATTGGAAAGTGAAAGTTCTTAATTTTGATAAGATTGTCTGTTCCGATATAGGCTAAAAGCAGGTCTTTTTTTGTATTTAAATCTATAATATTTCTTACTTTATAAATTAATTCCAAGTTAAATAAGTAGTCCTGAATATTTACTTTTTCTTTGACGAATTCTGGAATATGGAATTTAATAGGAACTACTTCCATTGAGTCTTTAACTTTAATAGGAACTACTTCCATTGAATCTTCAACTTTAATAGGAGCTACTTCCATTGAGTCTTTTACTTTAAATTTAATAAATCAAATAAATCTTCTCTAAAAATATCGTCGCCAATGAAGTGTTTTATTAAATAAGTAAAATAGGTAAAGTAAGTAAAAGTATATTTAATACAAAATACGTATATATATATAATGAATTCAATTCTTCAGGTTATGTAATTTACAAACGAAAAGTTAATATTATCAATTAAAATTCAATTTACAATTACATTTATATTACATAGATCTTAATTTTTTTGTTACAAACATAGATTCACAATAGTTTTGTTGGCCTTAACAGACATAAATAGATAATTTGCTACATAATATAATAATAAGCAATGAAGGAATAGGTGCACAAAAATTTTGGTACCTTATATTTTCTTTATATGTAAAAGATACAATGTCAAATCTGACCACTAGACCATTCTTTATTGGCATAGACAGAGAAAACAATTCATCAACAATTTTAAGAGATAAATTTAAAATTTTTTTAAATTTTAAATTATTTTTTAATTTTAAATTATTTTTTTATATATCATTGTTATAAATAATGAATTGTATCAAATATATAATTGATTATTGTTATTATTTAGAATATTACTTAATAAATAAATTTATATAATAAAATAGAATTGTGTTTAAATTTTTAAATCTTTATTCTGATCACCTTATAATTTAAAATCCCTGAATTTATTTGACAAAAAATTTAATAAAAAACTGAAGTTAATGAGTCATTTATTAATTATATTATAATTTCTATATTATTCAAAGCACTTTCATTTTTATTAGAATTATGTATTTATATTTTAATAATCTAATTTTTCAATCTTTATTAATAAATTTAGACACTATTTTAATAAATAAAAACTTTATAAATATTTATTATAAATAGTAAAAGATAGCTAAAAACAAATTTGGACATTAGAATAAAATTTTATTTAGGAATAAAAATAAATACAAATAATATATATATATATATATACATAATTTATTCTTTAATGCTATTAAATATTTCAAGAGCAGTTTGACCATTTTCTATTGATTGTTCTATTGGTTGAATTTAATTATTCATTGTGATGGAATAGAAGATTTTCATTGGTTCAGATTTAAAAAGGTATTGGTTAGGTATACTAAAACCATCTAGCCCTTCTTCCATTGAAAGAAGAAATAATCTTGACAAATGTTTTTTAAGACAATTATAAATTTTACCTGTTTGGAGATGGCTTCTATTTATAATATTCAATAATTTTTCATCCAATTTTTGGCTTGGGGATGAAGTAACATTCTTAATACTCTGACTAGTATCAAAATTACTAGTGGTTAGCCTATCAGCAATTGTAGGCTCCATAAATTTTATATACTCCAACCATTTGTATATTGTCTATCAATTCATATTTAAAAATATATTATATATTAGTCATCCCATGCCCTAAAAATATAAATATATATATTAATATTAAAAAATATATCATATTTCTTACATTTTTGAAGGAATATCCATATTTTATCGTATCAAAATTTTTGTTTTATAAAAAAAAGTTACAAAAAAAGCAAACCAGATTGCGTTTTTTATTGGCGCAATTGGAAAAAGTAAAAGTGCTCAATTTAAACGAATGCATTTGAAATGCATAAGTTGCGTTTGAAACGCTCAATTTGTGCGCACTATTAGTCGTTTTTAAAAACCTTAAAACGAGCCGTTTAACAACACTAAATTATACGTATAAATAAATTTCTTGATTTGAAAACTATTTAAATAAAAAAAAAGATTAAGTTTTTTAGTATGTGACCCCCAGACCCGGGGTTTGGGTCTAAAAATTAAGTAAACCAGCTATGATCACGAGCTCCGGGGAAAGACCCAGGGTTCACACCCTTAATCGCCACGCTTAAAAAATGCGAACATGTATTTTCTTTGAAAAATATTACAAAACTTTACTGAATTTTTTATTAATATATAAAGTATTTAAGAATAAATGGGGAGAAGGGGGGAGGGTTTAGCTAAACCTTTTTTCACAAAATCGATTATTATAATTCTCCCTCAAAAAATATTTTTCAATTATTTTTTTGTTTATTGTTTAAAATTATTATTTTAGAAAATAAATGTCCAATCCCTCCCCCGTTTATCTATCCCATTGTTATTCAAAATTTGTAACAATAATTTAGCAAGATTTTTTGGTTCTTATTATTTCAATTTATTATAAATATAATTATTATAAATATAATTATTATTAATATTATATTTATTATTTTAAATTAATTTTTATTTTAAAAAAAATTTTAATTATTATTTAAAAAAAATTTTAATTTTAATTTAAAAAAAAATTTTAAAATTTTAATTTTAATTTTAATTTTATAAAAAACTTTTATTTTTAATTTTATAAAAAACTTTTATTTTTAATTTTATAAAAAACTTTTATTTTTAATTTTATAAAAAACTTTTATTTTTAATTTTATAAAAAACTTTTATTTTTTTTTTATAAAAAACTTTTATTTTAATTTTTATTTAAAAAAAATTTAACATTTTTTTAAATCTATATATTTTTTCCTTTCTATATTTTTTGTATGGTAACCGCGTATTTTTAATAAAAATATCTTTATATTATGTGTACGTTTATTTATTAATAAACTGAATTAAATTAAATGTGTCTTCCTTTGAATTTTTTTATCATAGAAGAATGCAGAATCTTTAGTTATTGTTATAAGGGATATTTAATCCTGGAGAAAAAATGTTAAATAAAATTTAAATAATTTTTATAGACTTTTCGTCTTGCCCCGCCCATATAAAAAAATTTAAACCACGCTCGCCCCCCCCCCCCCCCCCCATATAAAATTTAAATATGCCCATTCTTCAAATTTTTTAAGCATCTTATAACAAATGAATGATTCAGTTTCAACGCTACACCCTCACTAAAAATTTCATAATTTAGTAAGCATAAAAAAATATTCGATTTAAAATATGATCAAAATATTTATGTTATTCATATTATTTGTTATTATCATGCAAAAATAATAATGAATCCAAATTTTTTGTGTTCAAAAGCGTTCCTATTTTTTTAAAATACCATTTTAAAAAAATTTTTAAAATAAAATGCATTTTATAAATAACGCATGTTGTTTTTTTCACCATTAACAATATTATTTATTTTTTAAATGTTTTTTTTATTTGAATTACATGATTTTTAAATAAAAGAAATTAAGATAATATATAATTTTTACGTTGATAAATCTTATTAACTTTGAACCTTTGCGCAAATAAACAAGAATATCTTCTAGTTCAATCTCCAATAAAAGTTATCATTCAACTAACATTAAAAACGATCCTAATTTTTCTTCGTCTATATTAGTTCTCATCTTATTTTTTATAATTTTTAATTTACTAAATGTTCTCTCACAATTAACTTGTGTAAATGACAAAGTTAAAATGTATTCATATGTCAAAAATAAATTTGTGTATGCACTTGTGTACATATTGTATCTTAAGAATGAAATACACGCATATTAAACAATTGTTACATTTATTATCACATTCTGAGTTATTAACTTATTGTACTTTTTCATTAGACTCCTCACCTGCACATACGATATCATCGTCCATTTCATTTAATTCTGTTATAAAATCTTTGAATTCACAGGCAAATGAACACAATTCGTTATGTAATTTAACACTCAATATATTTGCCAGTTGTGTTAGTTTTTCGAAGGCCTTTTCAGGAATACCTTTACTATTATTTTCATTAAAATGCTTAGGATATAAATATTGCATATTAAAAGTAAGCTCTCTTTTCGCAGAAAACCGTTCTGATGTTTATAACTTGATCAATTATATGACGAAATACTTCGACCCTATAATTGCAAATCAAATCCAATAAGTTTTTTTTATTTTATCTCATTAATTTTTTCGACGAAACAGTTATCGGTATTGTGGTATTTAAAATTTTTTTTATAAAGCATATATTTTTTAATGTTTGTCTAATAAGAAAAGAAGACAAGATTAGCAAGTTTGAATATTAGGACACTTAAAGGTAAGACGATAGAATTGGCATCAATGTTAAACAAGAAAAGTTGATATAGCGTGCATACAAGAAATGGAAAGGTCAGAAGACTTTAATGATTGGAGATGGGTATAAATTGTACTATAATGAAATTGTTAGCAATAGAAACGGTGTAGGCATCATCCTCAGTCAAGATCTAACCTCCTCATTTGTAGAAGTCAACAGGATCTCTGATAAACTAATGAAGATAAAACTCTGCATTGGTCAATCAATACTACACATTCTTTCAGTATATGCCTTTGTTGCAAGGAAGAAGAGAAAGATGACTTTAGAGCTATTCTTGATGAAGCTGTAATGGAAATCCCTAAGGGTGACCTAGTCATAATAGGTGGTGACTTAAATGCGCATGTGGGAAAAGCAAGAGATAGCTACAAAAGGCATCATAACATTGAAAGAATAGATTTCTCACAAGTTAGTAAAAAAATGTGGACGGACCTTTCATCCAGATTAATAGACACTGCCAAATCAACACTAGGCTTGACAAGGGGAGGCAACAAATCATACAAAGAAGTATGGTGGTGGAATGAAAAGGTACAAACCACTATAAAGGAGAAAAAAGCCCTATATGATGACAAGACAAGATACAAAAAATCCAAGAGATTAGCTACAAAGGCGGTTACTAGAGCCAAATCTATGGCATACGATGACATGTACGAAGATCTACATACCAAAGAAGGGCAAAATAAAATATACAGATTAGCCAAACAGCGAGAAAAGAACTCTAGGGATATAAACGTAGCTCCGATAGTAATCATAAATAAAGATGGGAAATTGATAATAAAGGAAAAAGAAATAATGAATAGATGGAAAGAATATTTTCTGGAGCTTCTCAACTTTAATCCCCACATACTACATCTAGATGAACACTCCCAATGTCAAAACCTTGTACAACCAATAACAGAACAAGAAATAATCACATGCCTTAAGCATATGGAAAACAACAAAGCTAGGGGTCCAGATGATATTCCAATAGAAAGTCTTAAAGCACTAGGAGATGATGGAATACATCTCCTCACAAATCTGTACAATAAAATATAGAGAAATGAAGAGATCCCTCAAAAATGGAGGCAGAGCTATCTAGTTCCTATCTTCAATAATAAAGGGGATCCACACAACACAATTGTCAAAATTACAGGGGCATAAAACGAATGTTACACTGTCTTAAACTCTACGAAAAAATAATAGAAAAAAGGTTAAGAGATAAATCCAAATAGGAGAGACTCATTTGGCTTTATGCCTGGAAGATAAACAACTGATGCTATCCACGCAATTAGGGAAATGAGTGAAAAATACAGGGACAAGAACAAAAAGCTATACATGGTCTTTCTCGATCTAGAAAAGGCCTTCGATAGAATCCCAAGAAAACTTATCTGGTGGGCGATAAGCCACGAAAAGGTTCCCGAAAAATATATAAGAATAATACAGGATATGTATATGGGCCATACAACAATGGTCCGTAGCACAACAGGTACTTCAGCAGGCTTCACAATAGCCGAAGGAGTTCATCAAGGGTCGGCTCTCAGCCCAATTCTCTTCATTACAGTAATAGATGTATTAGAACTATACCTCAAACAATCCCGTGGAATATGATATTTGCAGATGATATTGTGATGCTTGCCGAATCCAAGGATGAAATGAAAGAAAGACTAGTGAGCTGGATAAATATCCTATAAAAGCAAGGACTAAAAGTAATTAGAGAAAAGACGGAGTATATGGTGATAGGAGGAGATGAAATAGAGAGCATTGAAATAAATGAATTGCAGATATCGGCAATTGAAAGCTGCAAATAATTAGGCTCCACTATACAAACAAACGGCACAATAGAGAAGGAGATAAAAAGTAAAATGAATCAAGTGTGGTTAAAGTGGAGATCTTTATCTGGAGTGCTCTTTGACAAAAGAATCCCACACAAATTGAAGGGAAAAATTTACAGTTCCATAGTACAACCAACTATTCTATATGGTTCGGAAACATGGCCAACCAAAGAATCAGATGAGAGAAGTCAAACTATGGAGATGAGAATGCTGAGGATGATTACTGGGGTAACAAAAAAGGATAAGGTGCAAAGTACAAGAATACTAGGAAGTTTAAAGGTAGTGCCCATTAAGACTAAGATAATTGTAAACAGACTTAGGTGGTATAGACATACAAAGAGAAGGCCTATGAACTACATAGGAAATAAGGTAGAGAGTTTGGAAGTGATGGGTAAAGGTAAAAGAGGAAGGCCAAAACTTCAATGGGACGATAAAGTTAGAGCCAATATGAAGAATTATAAATTAGATAAACAAGATAGAATGAATAACATAAAGTGGAGAGAGATATTGAAGGAGCTTACCACCAGAAAAGGTGAAAGCTAAAAGAGAAAAAAAAAATCTAATAAATTTTAAATAACAAATAAAAGTTTGTCCATTGTTAAAATTTTTTAGCACTTTTTAAAATTATTTAGCCAGCCCGCCCAATTAGATAGAAGGGGGTGGGCTAAAAACCAGATCGTTTGAGCAAAAAAAATCGAGAAATATTTTAAATAACGATTATGACAATTATCGTTTTCTATGGTAAATCCTCACTGAAATTTTAACTTAACAGGTTTGCAATAAATATTTTTAGCTATTTGCTTTGAAAAAATTCAAAAAAGTTCAAAAATAACGATTATGACAATTCTCGTTTACAATATCATATATTTAACAGTTTGCTTTAAAAAAATTAAAAGTTCAAAAATTAAGAATATAACAATTGTCACTTTTCTGTGGTATCTTCACTGATTAACATGTTTACAATATATATATTTACCAGTTTGCTTTAAAAAAATCCAAAAAAGTTTAAAATAAATATTATGACAATTGTCACTTTTCTATGGTATATCCTCAATGAAATTTTAACTTATCATGTTTACAATAAATATTTTTACCAGTTTGCTTTAAAAAAATTCAAAAAATAAAGATTATGACAATTGCCACTTTTATTTGGTATCTTCACTGAAATTTTAATATAACATGTTTACAATATATATATTTACCAGTTTGCTTATAAAAATTCAAAAAAATTTAAAAATATATATTATGACAATTGTCACTTTTCTATGGTACATCTTCACTGAAATTTTAAATTAACATGTTTACAATTATTTTTACCTATTTGCTTTGAAAAAATTCAAAAAAATTCACAAATAATAATTATGACAATTGTCATTTTTCTATGGTGCATCTTCACTAAAATTTTAATATAACATGTTTACAATATATATTTTTACCTATTTTCTTTGAAAAAATTCAAAAAAGTTCACAAATAACGAGTATGACAATTGTCCCTTTTCTATGATACATCTTCACTGAAAATTTAACTTAACATGTTTACAATATATATTTTTACCTATTTGCTTGAAAAAATTCAAAAAAGTTCAAAAATAATGATTATGACAATTGTTACTTTTCTATAGTACATCTTTACTGAAATTTTAATATAACATGTTTACAATATACATTTTTACCTATTTTCTTTGAAAAAGTTCCAAAAAGTTCACAAATAACGTTTATGACAATTGTCACTTTTCTATGGTACATCTTCACTGAAATTTTAACTTAACATGTTTACAATAAATATTTTTTGCTTTGAAAAAATTCAAACTTAATTAATCCTTTTAGTCGACTAAATTAGTCGTTTTAGTCGACTAATAGACTAATTTAGTTGCTAAAGGTTCACATCCCTGCTTAAATCTACCCTACAAAAGCGTGTGAGAAAGACTCCGATCCTAAGGGCCTAGATGGTCTAACCTGTTTATATTCCAAAGGACTAATTAGTCGCCATAGAACTATAAACACTTGACCAAAAACGAATCAGGGATGACCAGCTACTCTACCTTTTGTAACCAGTCCACATATCCCTGTTTGGGAAAGACCAGATAGGCTTACAAGCGAAAAGGTCAAAAATTAGAAAGTACCACGACTTTCTGATTTGGACTTTATTCCAATAGTTATTTCTACCGATAGTTCCCTAGTACCTCTTGGCTATTTTTATTATAAAATTTAAGGTAAATCATCAAATTAGTGGTGATCATGAATCCTCTTAAAACGTTAATTTGAAGATCTTTTATTTTTTAAAAATTTTGTGTAGATTTTTGAAGATCGCTGCGATCAACGATCTTCAAAGATCTTCATGATATTTATTCTTTTTACCCCTTTATTAAAAGCCCAGATGTTTTTCAATTTTATTAATATAATATTTCTTTTATGTTTTATACCTCTCCTCCTGCCTTGATAAAAATTGAAAAACATCTGGGCTTTTAATAAAGGGGTAAAAAAATAAATATCATGAAGATCTTTGAAGATCGTTACACAAAATTTTTAAAAAATAAAAGATCTTCAAATTTTACGATCTTCAAAGATCTTGCTCAAATTTTTGAGCTAGATCTCGCTCAAAAATCTTCAAAGAAGATCTTTTGTACAACTCTGCTCAAATCGCCGTGTTACGAGGCAACTATCCTTGGATCTAAATGAAAGTCTTTTATGCCCCCCCCCCCTCCACTTTATCCTCTTATATGTTTTTCTTAGTTCTTGTTTTTCTTAGTTCTTGTTTTTCTTAGTTCTTGTTTTTCTTAGTTCTTGTTTTTCTTAGTTCTTGTTTTTCTTAGTTCTTGTTTTTCTTAGTTCTTGTTTTTCTTAGTTCTTGTTTTTCTTAGTTCTTGTTTTTCTTAGTTCTTGTTTTTCTTAGTTCTTGTTTTTCTTAGTTCTTGTTTTTCTTAGTTCTTGTTTTTCTTAGTTCTTGTTTTTCTTAGTTCTTGTTTTTCTTAGTTCTTGTTTTTCTTAGTTCTTGTTTTTCTTAGTTCTTGTTTTTCTTAGTTCTTGTTTTTCTTAGTTCTTGTTTTTCTTAGTTCTTGTTTTTCTTAGTTCTTGTTTTTCTTAGTTCTTGTTTTTCTTAGTTCTTGTTTTTATACTTTTTAAAAATTTTACTTAATTTTTTTACATGTTATTTTAATATAGTTTTTACATATTGTGCTATTTCAAATATAAAAGCATACAAATTAAATCCGTTTTTAAATCAAATCTTTTATAAGAAAATATTAAAAATTAAAATTCATTTATATAGTATTATTCTCGTATATTTAAACGATTATTTTCAAGTGGTCAAATTATAGGATAGGAGATGACCTATTGAAATAGAAAATTAAAAATTGGAGGGGGGTGTTTATCAATATAAATAAAAGAATTAAAATCTTTGAGTAGATGTCCTCTTCCTTGCCTACGCCAACGCATCTATCTAACAGAGATCATTTGAGTTTATGGTCAAATTAAACATTTACCCGTCAAATCTGATAGGTCATGTGATATATCAAATATATTTCGCAAAATTCTCATTGATTGTTTAAATTTAGAAAAACGTTCTATGCTCAAAATTTTAAGATCACATCAAAAATTTGAAGAAGGGAATAGGAAACAAGATGGAAAAGATAACACATCTTGCGATATATGTTATTTAGCATTGAATTTAAAAAAAGATGTTTATCTTAGGTGTGCTCACTGCTTCTTGTATTATCATGTTATATGTTTAAAATTTAATGAAATAGAATATGAAAATGCTAAACAATATTCTTGGTATTGTCATAAATGTAAGATATGTTCTATATGCTACAAAGAAAAAAGCTCCAAGGTATAAATAAAAATAATATAACCACAAAATCATCTTTAAAATATCAAATATTAGGCTGGAGCTTTGATATTATGTGATAAATGTGATAGAGCATTTCACGAAAAATGTTATGATCCACCTATAAAATGGAGCAAACGTTATTGGACTTGTATGCTTTGCAAAAATCTTAAAATTCAACTCTCACCTGTTTTATTGCATAATCAGAATATAAAACTCAATAAATTATGTGTTCAAGCTCCAATGAATAGAGAAATTATAGAGTAAAATCATTTTAACTAAAGCTAATATATTTATACAAAAATTGCCTAAATTAAAATAAATAATTTACACAAACTTGAATGTTGTTTAATAAAAAAATAAATGATAGTATAATTTCACTGAAACTTAATCAGACTATCAAAATTTATGGTATTTTAAGTTGGGATTAATGATGTCTAACAATTACTGTCTTTAAGTTTATATAAAATGAACTTTATTCTTTGTGTTACCTCTTGGAAATCAATAGACATATTAACAAACTTGTGAGCAATTGTAAATTGTGAAAATAACAATAATATGAGCAATCCTTTACATCTTATAAAACCAAAAAATATTTATATTTATTAAAATTCAATCTATAATAACAACAATTAAAAATTTCTATATCTTGTACAATTTCCTATAAATCTAAGGTATGTGCCATTTTGGATTTGATAGATAACATCAAAATTCTATTTGATCCTTTGATTGTATTTGATCTCAAATGTCTTAATGTTTATTTTGAAAAACTTCTTTCAATACTTGCAATGGTTACTGGTATTGTTTGGATAAATTTTATATTGTAAATAGATTAATGTACACCTTGTGGTTCATTGTTTGTTTCAACAGCCTGTAGCACATTTTAAGTTCTTCAGAAATTTCAAAAACATCAAGATAATTGCCATATCTTTAAAATATTCCAGAAACCAAAGTTATCAAATGATACTTTTTAAATGTATCTCAATAAATTTTTAAGATACATTTAAGATTTTTTTTTAATGGCTTGCATAATGCCAATTTTTTTTATAAAACTTAAATTCTGTTTGAAAAATTATAATATGTAAAAATTATTAATCCTTGTTACATGGGTAAGACTATGCAGGCCCCAGTCATTTTAAAAATGTTATCACTTAAAATTCTTTTGATATTTTTGCCTGAATCTTTTAGTAGTTTAACATTTTTAGGTAAAGTATATGTGTGCAATATTAATTTTGATTTTATTTAGTATTTTATGAGTTATAAGGATACTTTTAGAGCTCGAGGTCTGCCTATATTCCACCTGGTCATCCTTGTAATTTTTTCCATCTGTTTTGGCATTCATAGTTCAATTCTTTTTTATTAATCAATATTAATTAGAACATGTAAACTATATATATTATAACATATTTAGAAAAAATTTTTAAATCCATATAAAAATAATTTTTTTAAAAAAAGAAAAATGATGTGGTTATAAATAGTCATTTTCCTCCAGTGATTGCAATGAATCTTAAAAAAATTATTTAAATTTGTAACATAATATTTCAAAGCTGATTTTTTGTTTCTAAGGGACCCTCGAGATTATTGTTTTATGTCTCTTTTGACTATTTAGTTTGATTAGGGAAACTCCCAAATGAGCAGTTTGCTGATACCACAATGGGTATAAATATATTGTAGTAGGCTAGATATGTATATTTTAGGGATTTCCTTTTTTTTCCACTATATCTAATGGATTGTAATTATTATTTAATGGGTTGATGAGAGGTGTCACAAAAATAGATATATTTTCTCACTTTCAGAGAGCAAAAATAGAACCTGCAAACATATATATCAAAGTTTGACATGAATATTTATCTTTAATATCATATCTTTGGCCACACATTTTTTATATTTATATATTAAGGTCTGAGAGTTTGTTAAATTATAAAAAGAAATAAAAAACATTATTACAATTTTTTTTGCTATAAGTTATTGATAAAAGCAGGTTTGTATTACATCATATAGTAATCTAATTAATTATTTTTAATTATCTCTTTTTCTGAATCAAATCGTAATTATTATAATCATTTTTTTATGCTCACTGCCTATCTCACCTAACGTTTAACTCAAGATTTTGACCAAATGTAAATTACTCAAGCTTATTGATTTTGTTTGCAGATCAGAAATGTTTGGATTGGCGAAATTTTGAGACATAAACAATAATATTTTGGTTAAAATTTTGATTAAACTTTATTTTTAATCGACTAAATGGGGCTGTTTAACAACACTACATTCACCCATAAACAGCAAATATTTTAAATGGGAATATTAACTTGTGAAAAATAAACAAAATAAAATACATTTAATCATTCGTAAAATTTAGTTGGTTTTTTTAAAGTAGAAAATATTAAATGACATTGATACAAAGATAGATGGTAAATAAAAATCAATATAGAATCGGATTGTAGCCCTTTTTAAAAATCGGCTAAATGGGACTGTTTAAGAAACACTAAATTCACCCATAAGCATTGCAAATATTTTAAGAGATTAACTTCTGGAGAATTAAAAAAAATAAAATATTAATCGTGAAAGTTAGTTGGTTTTTTTAAAATAGAAAATATTGATATTTTTATGATATTGATTTAAAAATAGATGGTAAATAAAAATCTATATAAATATCGATATCAGATCAGTGAAAAATTTGTGGATCAGCACAGCCCTATTTTTTTTTTAAATATTAAGAAACGAATTATTAATCAATTACAAATATTAATTTTGAAGAAAGAAGAAGTCCTCGGAACATTAAAATAAAGAAATATTAAAAATGTTCGTTTATTTACTTTTTCAATCTACTATTTATATATTTTTTACAAACTAAAATTAGAATATAATATTAAAAAGGTTAACATATAAAAATAAAAGGTAAAACTAAAATGAAAATATAATTTGAATAAATAGAATTAAATGAATGTGCGTTACATAAATTAAAACCTATTATATTCAATAACCAAAATATATAATATTTTAATTTATTAATTCCTATAACATAACAAATTTTTATTATTCGTAATACGAATAATGCACCATTCCTTTCGTATTTTTTTTTGAATAGGCTTACCCTTAGACAATGTCAAACTAGGTAAGCCATAAGGATGACCCTGTCTGTCTTAATGATATTTAATTTTTTTTAAGATTATAATTTAATTTAATATGCAATATCTCAATTTTTTATAGCTCCAATTTAAAGTTTAATTTTATTATATGTTGCATCCAGAGTTGGTTAAAGATGGTCTTAAAATGTAATATGATACCATTACTTTTAAAAATGTTTTTAGGTATAGATACGATTGTTTTTACAATACATTTTCGATTCGATTTTTTATTATAAAAATCATATAAGATCTGCATTCGAGGCCTGCAATGGGCGGGATTTCTAAAATATTTTAAACATTAGGCGGGTGGCGGGCGTTAAAAATATTTTTAAAACAATGGGCGCGCGAATTTTAAATTTTTTAGGACGAAATAAGCAGAACAGACTTCTATTTATTAGAAATCATTTAATTTTATAATATTGTATATTTTAATAAAGAGCCAAACCAGCTATTAAAATAATTTTTAAACATAGAATGGGTGAATTAAACAAATTTTATGGGCGGGCGGGCAGGCAAATTTTAAAAAAATACCGTGGATGGGTTAAAAAAATTAAAATAACGAGTGGACAGGCTTGTTGGCTAAAACTCACCCATTGCAGATCTCTTTTCTGCATAATAATAATGTCATAATAAATCATGCCTAAATAAATATTTGTTTTCTTCCGAAATAACGATAGGCATTATATTCAATACCAATACTGCTATTAAGGTATATAGCGAAAGATCCACTGTTTTAGCCGATACCTAAACCTATAGTAATGATACTAACACACCAAAAATAATGTAGTATATTTATTCAAAAAGGCAAATATTATTTCTAATTTATTTTATAGTTAAGATTAGGGCTGTGCCGATCCACCGATCAGATATTTTCCGATATTAGTTCAAAACCGATCCGAGATTTATATTGATTTTTCACCATCCCCTTTGAACCAAATGTAATTAAGAAATCAATATTTTTTATGCAAAAAATCGAATATGCATTTAATTTAATTTTTTTATTATAAAATAAATATATTTAATAATATATCCATTTTATGTTGGTATGAATTATAAAATTATAATATATTAGATTTTTTAAAATAAATATGAGAGCCTCTAGATTTTCTTGCAATAAGCTTCTACGATGTGGACTATCTATATTTCCTACCTTACTGAAGGCAGACTTAGATGGGACACTTGTTGCAGGAGGCGCCAAAAATTTACATGCAAGTTTTGATAAAGTTGGATACTTTTCAGCATTAATTCTCCAATTTTCAAGTGAATCCACAGGGGATATAATATCAATATCAATGTTATTCGAGTTAACTAAATAAAGAACACAAACATGTTAGCATTAAAAAAATAGTGGGTTACCTACAAACCCAATCCTTTGTTAAATTTGAAAATAATCAGATATCGCCCAAACAAATGGGTCAATCGTATCCCAACCAAGCAATACTTGATTAAATATGAAAAATATGTTATTATACTTTCTAGATATAAAGATTCGTTTAAATATTACTTGATTTCTAGTATGGATCGTCTACATTACTATCGATTTCAATTATTTTATTTGTTACTAGTTTCTCTTTGAATTTCAATTTATAAGCATCCCTTAAATTAAATTTGCATTTTTTAATGTTATATGGAACATTTTTCATTGTCATTCATTACCTAAGTTAACAATAAAATCTAAATTTATCTAAAAAAAATATAAAACCTGGCTTATTTTTATTAGGAGTTGGAAGTTGAACATTATTATCACTTAATAAAAGGCTCACATGCATTCCTGAGCTTTTCAATATATGAAATGGCTTTTGGTAAAAGGAAATCCTTATAACGAGTATCAAGTAATGTTGCGATAAGATAATTGTCATAATAAATATAAAAAAACCGAGTTGTTAATTGATTATTAATGGTATTCTTCGTGGTCTGCACCAGAGACCCGGAGTGAACCGTAACGAACTGTTAAACCATTATAAACCGTTATAAATATCTGAACCGTAACCGAACCGATATAATTATTTTTTGAAAGAAAGAACTCTTATAAAAAAGTTAAACCGGTTCAAATTTTATATTTTAGGAATTGAAAAAATTTGAATATCCAGAATTATATATACTTGCTCTTATAGTACTGGCGGTTCCCGCAATACAAATTTCTGTAGAAAGGGCCTTTTCGGGGCTAAAATTTGAGGTATCGTCACAACGAACAAATATGAATCCATTTATATTTGAATGCGTTCAAATAATATATTAAGAGATGAGTTATTTTGAATCTTATATATTTTTTTTATATATAATTCATAGGTGCTTATAATAAAAATAAATTAGACGATGGTATTGCTTCAATAAAAAAGAATTTCTAACCGTAATGAACCATTATAAACCTTTCCAATTAGCTGAATCGAACTGAACCTTTATAAAATTTTTCTTAAGAACCGTAACCAAAACCTAACCATTAAAAATTTTTACATACTGAAGTACAAACTGAACCGTTATAAATAACGGTTCGGATTCCTTGTCTGCACACCTCTATCTGTGCCCCCGTTAATCGTTAATTCACTTTTCAGAATGTGGTCTACTATTTTTCTAACCCGGGTAAGCATATCAATAATAGATCTATGCGATAAAATTGCTGCCGGTGTAAACAATTGCAAACTATTTGCAAAACAGGAAACGCTTTGAAAGTTCCCATTTTTCATGGCCAAAACTATATTTGGTGCATTATCTCTAATGATTAGGTGTATTTTATTTTTTTATACCCCAATAATTAATCATTTCATCTAAAATTTGATCAGAATTTTTCCAAATATTAGTTTTATTAAGAATGGCTGATATTATTGACTGACTTTCAGGACTCTTATTTTTAAAAATTTGATTTGTTTTTCCTAATATTTCTCGTTCTTTTTGTATTAGCTCTTCAAATGCTGTTTGATGGAATCGCTTTAAATGTTTACGGATAGGTAGTATTAAATGAATTTTTCTTTATTCCTCCCCGTGAAATTAAAATTTCGCAGATAACGCATTTTGCAAATTTATCTTTTGTAAAATATTTCCTATAAATAATAAAATTAGCGTTTTAAAAAAATTTAAAATAAATAAAACTTTGGGTGTTCCTTTATATTTTTATAAAAAAACTTTTAAAATACTCTAAATCTATTTTAAAAAATAAATAAAATTTAAGGGGTGTTGTGCATTTCCTTTGTTTAAAAAAAAATTATCTAGAAAATATTATTAATGCAAAATAAATATACATAAAATAACAAAAAAAAAGAACAGTAAAAAGATCAGATCGGTGTTTACAGATATCGGCCCGATCCGATATTTTTGGAAAACGCTAAATATCGATGCCTAACCTATATTTAAAATCGGCACAGCCCTAGTTAAGATTAACAGCACCTTTCGTTTTTTATCGATTTAGAAATTTACAGAGTTGTTAATCGCTATTTTTAAAAGTAGCGCGCTACCGCTATCGCTATTTGTCAAAAAAGTAGCGCGTTATTAGCTACTATTTTTTAAAAGTAGCTTTAGCTACTTTTTAAGCTACTTTTTATAAAAAAAATTGTGAAACAAATTGGTTTATTTTTTGCTTATAATGTTATTGTATAGTACATATATAAAAATCAACATTTATAAATATTAAAATATAGTGATTATAAAAAAATTTATTTAATAAAAATAAATATTTATGGTAATTTATAGTATTTTATAAGTTTTTACCTAGTGTTATGTGTCCAACTATCTGCCGTGTTACATATATATGATATCTCTGATAACTCAACTATTAGAGCATCTTTCATCACTTTAAAGTTATCTGCTATTTTATTCATTAGTGTCTGGCGACATAAAATTGTTGTACCAGGGGATAGTTTTAATCATCATGGTAAATGATGGATTATCAACCAAGGACATTGGCTGAACTATATCAATTATAAAATCAACAATAACTTTATCAGCCAATATCTGAAAAATATTGGCATTTGAATTATTAATTAATTTGGTTTGAATTGAATTAGTCTTTTTGGATGTAGAGTCGCCTATACCAGAATTATTTAGATGTTTCTCCATTTCCTTAAAACTATTGGCATGAACAGTCTTATAAAATAAATACTATTAGAATGTAAAAATGACAATTTACCTTTTAGTGTTTCTTGAGGTTATAACTGGATTGATTTGAGGAAATATTTTTTTTTACATTTTAAACAAATAAATTTTAAGCCAGTATTGGTTTTTATATTTATTTAAAAAAAAAATTCAAATCTAGGGAATGGGAAATTTGTATTATAGCTATTAAGAACATTTTCTCCCCTGGTATCTTCCATTTCATTAATATCATTGTCTGAATCACTTTCAAGGATTTGGATATCCATAGGCGATGGCATTTTAAATTATTAACACGTGATTTAGGTTTATAACACAAATGAAAATATAAATTACAAATTGAAAATATATTTCAATTTCAAAATTAAATAATAAATCATAAAAATAATAATTAATTATGATATTATATTTAAATTTTCATGTTTATACTTACCTTCATTATATTTTTTAAAAATAGCTAAGTAGCACTTTTAAAAAAAGTAGCGCGCTAAAAAATTATATAATTACAAAAAAAGATAACGCGCTAAGTAGCACGCTACAAGTAGTCGCTACTTTAACAACTCTGGAAATTTGTATATATTTTTTTTTATAAAATTGCATCGGCTCATACTGCTGTGAATATCAGTGTATCTTTGGTATCTAGATAATGATACATATACCTTTTGTAAATTAATAATTGCATTTATTATCTGATAAAATTATGAAAAGGTATGCACCATAATTAATAAGTATCATTGAAATGTTTTTATATTTTAAAACATTAAATATACAAAAATGAAGTGAAGACGGTTTAGTTTATCACACCCCTAGGACACGGTCTAAAAGTAGCTCCCCACCGCACAAACCTGCCTTTAGTCCTGATAATTTATCGTTGTCACCACAAACTTTTAATACGCTCAATGGACCAAACTTTTTAAACTCTGACCAAAGAGTAGTTAAGAAAATACATAAGCGACAAAGAATTAAGTACGAAGCTAGAGATACTAGGGCATCAAAAAAGCACACTTCTAACGATGATAATATTAACATTGAAGACGAAGAATTGTTAGAAGGAAAAATTGGAGATGGTAATGCATTCATATTTTATTATTTATTTCACAAATTAATATAATTTAATTGAAATATGGGGGTAATTTTTTAAAATATTTTCCTAACATGAACCCCCCCCCCCCCTTCTTCTTCTTTAATAAATAAAGAGAAATCACAAAAAGCCATCAACGTGGAAAAAACATAATGATGCACTTCAAATAAAATATTTATATTTAATACAATCCTTGCATCAAAATTTATATTTAATCAAGGATATAGGTCTGCAATGGGCGGGTTTTAGCCAATAAGCCCGTCCATTCGTTTTATGAAATTTTTTAGATGCCAGCCAGCCCACTTATATCTTTTTTATAAAAATTTACTCCCCCCCCCCCCGCCCTTTTATCTATAAATTTTGTTTAACTCATCAGCTCGTCTAATGTTTAAATATTATTTTGATGGCTGGACTTTTTATTTACTTATTTTAATGTATTTTTAATTAAACATTTATAGTATGCAATATTATAAAATAGTACTATTATTTTTAATAAATTGAAGTCTGTTTTGTTCGTTTCGCTCGAAAAATATTAAAAATTACCCGCCAATTACTTTAAAAATAGACTTGTAATCAGCTAAACCCTCTAATATGACCAGGTTGGTTTTGAATTCAAAATCTTGAACCAAATTTAATTCAAAATTGGTTCCGCAAAGTGAAAAATAGGCTTAGTTTGTATTTAAATACATCATTCAAATTTTTTATATTTCGAAAATGTCAATCAATATGCATACTGAGCACGCTTTTACTCTTCTAGCGATGCAGTTAAAATTATACAAATCAGTACACTGCTGTTATAATAATAAAATAATACAAATCGAATATTTATATAATAAATTACGAAGCCCATATGGACATCTCAAATATTAATGAATCATCTCCTAAAGCCGAACTTAAGCCCAAAAGAAAAGTAGAAACATTGTCTCCTCTTCGCGATAATAGCAATATTAAGAAGCCAACATTTGATAACGATTTAAACTCATCGAAAATTGTCAATGATTGTTTCCGCATTGATCTGATCCAAATTGAAGGACTGACAACTCCAGATAATACTCTATCTTGCATATACCCTAAACAACTGATTGAAAATTTACTTAATAAGCATTGCGAATATTTGTTGGGATTGGCACTAAAACTGAACAAGGGGGCGTTTTACCTCGGAGAAGACGATGTAGCGGAAAAAGTTATAAATAAACTTAAGAGTAAACGTGAAAGTATCGACAGTAAATCTAACGACAACTCAAACAAAGATGACGACCCCCTTACAATTGGTAAAAAAAGAGGTAGGAAACCTATTAAAAATAATTTGCGGCTAAAAAATGTTGCATTTTCAAATGAAAATGATATGATTAACCCCGAAAAAAGCGTTTTAACCCATGAGACAGAACAAGAAATCAAACTTGTATCCCCTGTAAGTATCTTTGGCCTATCCTTATCCCAAAAATACACAGAAAAAATGAAATATTGTCCCTATAATGGTTGCGACTCTAGTGGTCATTTGAGTGGTATATATGAAGCGCATCATACTCTGGCTGCATGTCCTAGTTTTTATGAGACTGATAAGTGGGCTTGCATTCGTCGGTGGAACACTCGGATAATTCCGTTACTTAAAAAGATAACTGAAAGTGGGAGTGTGGATGTGAATTACTTTGAAAATGTAGATAAAGATGCTAACGATATCGATAACAAAGATGTCACACAATTCCAGAACAAGGTTAAAATTGCCTTATTTAAAAAATAAATTATTATTTATTCCTTTAAAAAGAAGTCACCATCTCAAATATACAAGGGATCTCCTAATAAACAAAGCTCCAAAGAACGATCATTTTCCTTCGCCTCGACTTACCAATCACTTAATGCATTAAACACCAATTCTCCTGTCATCAAAAAATCGGATAATGGTAATGATAAAAATAAGAAAAATATCATTAACACGGGGGTTAAACCAAATGATAACTTGTCTAAGCAAAATAATTTGGATGGCCTATGTCTCGACAATCCCGATACCCAAATATTTTATGACGTCAGAGCTATCGTTGCAGCAATACAAGTAACTATATGGAATATTTAACCCCCCCCCCTCCCCCAATCATTTCTTTGTTAAATATTCTCAAGCAGTGTTACATTATGAAAATATTTAACACTTGAAGATTTTCAATATAACTTATCTTTTCAAATGATATAAATTCAAGTTTTTACAAATTTCTTTTATTTTCTTTATCTAATATAAATCCTAAAACGTGTTTTATTACATTATTTAATTCTTTATTATACCAAATTTTTTCTCTACCATGTTTATACATTAATCTACGAAATTTCGGATGATAAAAAATGTTCATAAATATGATAATTGAGAAAACCTTTGGTCTCCTAAAATTATGCCTTTCAGATCTGCCAGCTAATTATTTTTTATAAATAAATTAATTTTATATTTAAAAATATCGTTACCTCAGTCGTTGACGAATTTAATGACCCCCTGATTATTAGTATCAAACTTTAATGTAAAGTCATTGAGAAATTATTTACACCAGGGACATGGAACGGAACTTGGTATAAGAACTTAACAGGAACAGTTATTCCGGAACTTGTTTTGAATTAAATAATATGTAAATTTCAATTAAGTTTATTCATAATTAAAATGTAATATTCAAAATGGCTACCTATTCTTTTTTTTTAAAAAAAAATCTAATTCGCTACAAAACAATTCTATTATACATTTAGCAGTTTTGTTATAATAACACTTTAAAATAAATAGCGGTAGCTCGCTAATGCACATAAAAATTATTAAAATATTTTTAATTAATTCTAAAATCATAATCTTTATATTTAATTTAATTTTGAAATCTATATTATATTTAAAATCTGCATTATAATAGTTTTCAAAATAATTTAAAATGTGATGATAATATGGAATTTCCTTTTCCTGAATTCACAAAATATTTTAATCTAGATAAAAAAATTTGACACCGGGTATAAATGTCATCATTGTAAGATGTGTCGGAAGGTTTTATCATCAAACATGAATAGTAGGTTCAATTTTAGGAAACATTTAAAAGTAATATATTAAACAAATTTAATATCAATATGTAGCCCAATCCATAATCTTTAAAATAAAATTTGAATCAAAGCTATATCTATAATAGTTTTTGATGAGTTTATGTGAAAGTTGATTTTCTGGCCCAGTTCAAACATGGTTTGTTTCAACTGGCCAAAGATATTATAACATAGTTTGTTTCAACTGGCTATGGTATTATTCAAGAATTAAATTAAAAATTACAATAAATAACTATATTATAATTTCATTTTATCATCAGACTCATCTATTTGACAATATTTTATAAATTATTATCAGGATGTTTAACAAGCTTAAAATTAACCACTAATAAATTTATATATTTATAAATTCAAAACATGCTAAAAATACTTATTTCTATCCTTTCACACCAATTTTGAGAGAAATACGTTCAATAGATAAAAAGTTAAAGGGTGGTGGCCTGGCAAGTTGGTAAATATGGCTATCCACTTATCCGACGGCGGCAGTCTTTTTTAATTTTTTCATTGGCGTTCGGCGGCGCGCCAATTTCGCCTACGCTTACTAAATTGTTGGCGGCCGCGGCACGCTATTTATTTAAAAAATTGTTTAATTCATTTCTTAAATTGCTTCCTGTCTCACTCCAATTTAAATTTATGTATTTTCTTATACTCAAAAATAGATTAAGGAATAGCATTTAGACACAGATCAGAGTCAAAAACAACACATATTAGTAATATTCTATTGATTTTTATTATACAAATTAAAATATAAATTATGCAACAAAATTTAAAGTATGAAATATAATAAATCAAAAAATCAGATTTAACAAGATTATAATTGCCTGAATAAATAGTAACGTATCAAGATTCTTGTGACATAAAGAAGTCTTTTTTGCATTTAGTATTAATCCAGCAATGGGAATAATTCTTTGGTTGGGTATACTCGTTGCAAGTATGCAAAGAACCTTCCTAGCTAAATTAGCAAGCCTAGTAAGTTCCAGTCGCTTTTTTCCCAAAAAGTTAGTGCATCCTATGCTGGTACACTATGTTGGCTGAGAAAAATATGGCATTCTCTATATTGCCAATGTTGTTATAATCTTTGCTTGGAAGGGAATGTTTACGAGCTATTTTAGCTATATATAAACTGGATGTTTACCCATTATCTTCAACTTGAATCTCACTCTGTGCATTTCCCTCATGCTCTAAAAGTTTTAAATGTCGAATTAAAAATTGCAATGATGTCTTAGAATTCGAATTTAAATGTTCTGAAACAATCCAAAGATTTTGAAATCTCTGATCAATCGAGTCGCTAATATCTTATGTTTAAAATATAATTTTATTAATAAAAATATAATATAATAGATATTACTTGAAATTTGGTATTTGGAAACTTATGGTCAGGCTTTTTTTATTTTCTTTTAGGCAAAAGATATCTGAGCAATCAGATTTATTGATTTGTATATTTGTTTCTATTTCACTGCGAATAATTATCCTAAATTTATTAATGATCCTTTTTGGAAGGAAAGAAATTCCACCTTTCTCTGAATTGATTTAATAAATATGTAAAGTTCATATCCAATCTTTATTAAAAATTTATAGGAATCTTGTTAACACTACGGATACTTTCTAGAATAATTAATATGATGTGCCAGTGAGAGGGCAATTTAATTTTAAAGCATTTCGAATTAGACAAAAATTAAAGATATTTATTTAAGTGGTAATAAAATAATAATGGTCATCACAATTTATCAGTATACATATATATTTCGTTAAAAGTTAATAGCATCTAAAAAACAGTTGAATATAATTTCAACAAGAAAATATATTAAATCAATTTAGTATATATTATTATTTAACGAAAGTTAATATATGAATTTTCCATTATGTTAACTTATAGGCGCAAAACAATATACAATAAGGTAAATATATAATATTACTACAGTGTAATGCAATTTATATTATCAGCCTCACCAAAGTTAACAAAATTTTCATCAAGCTATGGACCAGAATCATATATCCAAAATATCCGTCTGTCTCATAATTGATTGCAGATATTTACGATGCCCATCCTCAATTTCACATTCCAAATCAGCTACTCGATATCTGAGGGCTTAAATGATTTATCTAATTTGTTTAATCAGAATAATAATTCTGGCAACTTTTTTTATGCGATCAACTGTAACAAAATTATAAAGTTCAAGCCCTAAGCATAAATGATGCTAATAATCCCCCAATCTGACGCTTCTTTTGATATTAGCCCGAGCATCAGTTACCATCTGTAATATTTTGTTTTTTAAATGGAATTCCTCTTTTATACTATCGATCTAAGATAATATGTTTTCACCAGTATGCTTTTGCGTCGCGTGTCTAGTTGTCAAATATTTTAAATCAAAATCTTCATTTAAATGACGAAGACTAAACGTAATATAATTTCGACGCTTGAATCTGTCCATAAATCAAAAGTGATAGAAGAGAATTTTGATCTAGAATCAATTAGATTTAAAAATACACCTTTATAGATGAATAAACATCATCTAGTGCACCCCAACTAATGATTGTCCTATCAGGCAATTCTAATGAGGAATCAAATATTATATTTTTATTTCTTTAGAAAATTAATTTTTAATAATCATTTTATTTAAATTTCAAACCTTTAGAAAACCAGCTTTCTTTATTTTTTATAGAATCAAATGACATTAAATCTAAGTAGCATATCAAAACATAATTTCGCCATATTAGATTTTATATTTATTTTATACATTAAAAAGATATTTAAAAGACATTAAAATAATTAGTATTGAAATGAAACAAATTATAACTTCAATATTAATAAATGATACTTAAAAAACATCAGAGTTATCATTAAACAAACTTGGGTGATTTAAAACATGTAAGCCCCCAAAAAATTAATATTTGTGTTATTTTGAAATATGATGTATGAATGAGTGTAAATGATATACAATATTTTATTATATGCCAATAGAGTACAAGTCATGTTTTAATTTTATTAATTAATATTCAAATTTAAATACTAATGATTTAATATATAAATATAATTAAATAGCATTCTATAAATTATCAACTCCGCACCCCCGCCATGAAAAAAATCGGCGTCGAGATGAGATTCGGAGGCTTTTCCGTCGTGCAAAAAATATCAGTGGCGCCGGCTTGAGCCGGCGGTGCACAGATCTACTTATACATAATTTTTATTCAAACTATTACTATTATAATTTTAGACTGACCTAGCCAGATCAAATTTTTTTTGAAATAAATAATAATACTATTGAAAATCTTTTAGACGCATTTTTTAAATTTAAAAATACGAATATTTTTGATGATTTTTCTTATATAAAAAATATGTATATTAAATTTAATACTATTGCGTGCGAGTGTTGAACGATTTAGTTATAGCTTATACTTTGATCGTCGCTCTAGACTTGGAGATGACAGTATGGAAATGTTTGCCCTAAAAGATGAATAAATTATATATATTTGAAATTTTAGTCATATTTCTTATTTGTGGAAATAGAGATACGTAAATATTTTAAAAAAATTTCAAAGTAGTGTTTTTTAAAGTAGCCAATAGCGATCTATTTTTTTGAAAACGTTAGTAGTAGCACGCTACTTTTAAAAGTAGCTTTTAACAATACTACCATTTAGTATTTATTATATTATGTGATTAACCTATTTATTATAATTAATATTATATAAAAGTTTTAGATTTCAATGGATGATATTGTAAGAAAGTGTTGATAGGTTGTTTTCGACACTTAAATTTATAGACCATCCCACAAATAAATCTTTTAGCGAATATATATCAATTCTTGGATATAATATTTGATTATTTTATATTATAAAGATTAAGAATAAAATTTTGATTAGTGATCTGCATCCGGCCTAATTTTTAAGCCCGGCCCGGCCCGAACCTGAAATTTTTTTAAAAAAATTTTTCCTGTCTGGCCCGAATTTATTTAAATATAATTTTTATAATTACTCAAAATAAACGATATATGTTATTTGGCGTCTACTTTCTATAAATAAAATCACATATTTTTATTTTCCATAAAAAATTCAACATAAAATTGATAAATTTAGATATATTTTAAAAACGGCCTGGGCCTACTTTTGCAGATCTGTAAGATATTATTAAAATAGTTAAATTGAGTTGAAACTTGGAAAATAATATATATTTTTTAGTCCTAATAAAAAAGCAACACGAAAATGCTTGTTCGAGACCCTGGTTTACATTTTTAATATATTTTACATTGTACCATCTTGACAAATTCACTATTTTTTTTATTGTTTTTTAAGGAAAGCGATTTAGAACCATTCACCCCTCCTTTTTACATCAAAAAGATAGTTTTTGGAAGCGCGTGGCAAATGAATGGGTGGTACCCTTCTCCCTTTCCTTTGGATAGATTCGGTCGTACAGATACAATCTACTTTTGCGAATTTTGTCTTAGTTTTCAAGAATCCGAGATATCTTACCTCCGACACACAGTATTTATATATTAACTAGCTGATAGCCCGTCAAGAATGATGGGGAATCAAAATTTTATTCTTTATTCAATGACGGATAGATAATAAATTTTACCTTTATTTCATGATGAATGAATCAGAAATTTTCCTATCTTATGAGGTGAGATTTATAAATTTATATTTTTTTACACAAAACTGATCTAGCAAGAATATATTTTTTATATTATAAATTACAAATACAAATGAATAAAAATTTAGTTTAAAAGATTTTCTATTGTGCACATAAATTCAAATTACAAACCATATATATTTACATAAATTATAAAAAATAATGGAAAATTGTAGAATAACTCCTCATCTAAATAAATATAAATTTATGAATCCCATTTTTAAGATAGTAAAATTTCTGATTCATTCATCATAAACAAAGGTAAAATTTATTATTCATCCATCATTGAATAAAGAAGAAAATTCTGATTCCCCATCATTCTTGACAGGCTATCAGCTAGTAACTTATATTTTTGATAACGGGTTCTTAAAAAATCCCTAAATATATGTAAATATAAGGCAAGGTCACAACAGGCATTATTTTTTTTTTATTTATGCTAAAATAAAAATGGATTCATATTTCCTCCATATATACACTTCACAATGGCTTTCTTTATTTCCTTGTGTCCAACAATTTCTTGAATCCAGAAATTATCAGAAATTTTTTGCAAATGATTTAAATAAGGCATATCTGTGGTTTGCCCATTCCATTAAGTTCAAATAAAGTCAGATGGGAAATGAAATAATTCAGTTATTGAAATTAAAGACCTTCACGGCCTTGCCTTGATTTATTCATCAACTTCCAGCGCAGGTCAGCAGTAAAAATAATTTGCAGGTCAGTCCATATTTAATACAAATTCAAACCCAAGCTCATCATAAGTTTCAAAAATTTTGCCCAGACCCATATCCAAAAATTTAATTTATAATGAAAACGAACAATATTTAAGTGTATTTAGGCGATCACTTTGTTAGCAATACTGAAATTTATTATTATTAGAAGAAAAAATATACAATATATTTTTAAGTTAGTCACAGTTTAATAGGCTAAATTTAAATGAAAAATTTTAGGGCTTTTTATCAAAAACCCAGTCCTGGCCCAGGCACGTTAGTAAATATATTATACCTGGCATCCCATGGGCTGCAAGCCTCCCCATAAATATCTGATTGAAATGTTGCTAATATGGTGTAAATTATAAAAATATCAATACAAAATTACTTTATTTTAAATTTATTTATTATGAAATCTAACTAACTGACTATTAACCTAATAAATTCTCTGTATATATACTTTTCAAAAGTAAATAACAATCAATGTAACTATTAGATTAATATTATGTTAAGTGAAAGAAATAATATAACAAGTCTGTAGGTTAATATAATTTAAAATAAATTTCGAATGTATTAACATTCCCCCTTCTGTTCTTTCTGTGTTCCTCGCAGTCGTCGTGGAACTCGCTTCCAATCGTTTGTTGTTTTTGTACGTTCTCCTATCTCTTCTATCCTCGATCCCGTTCTGTTCAAATCGTTATCATTAATTCGTCGTTTAGCATAGAATAATTTGTCAAATGTCAAATTGGAATATAGAATGTATATTGAATTGAATAAGAATGATAAAATTGGAATAATAGAATAATAGAATAATATTCAAATAGAATAATTGATATGTGATTCGCGTTTTACTTTAGCGTTTATGTTTATATTTATTTTTTTACATTTTGCGTTCTAGTTTGGCGTTTAAATTTATTTTTATATTTTGCGTTTTACATAATTTTTATGTATGTATATCGATTTTTATTTATATATATATTAATATTTTCAATCCATAAGGTTAAAATATCCAAATAAATATTATGCACATTTCCCTCTCTTTAAAAAATTTTTGAATTTAAACACCCTTGTTTTTTAATTTAAAAAGTGTTTTAAAATAATAATTCTTTATAAGATTGCTTTGCTTTTAGTAAAAAATAATTTCTTAAGCCTCATATTTAGAAAATGATCTCCTCATCACATCTTTAAATATTTTTCTAAAATGAAGACGTTAAGTTTTTACATAACTTCTCTTTATACTTTTATTTGTCTTCAAAGTTTTAAGTTTCAAATTTTTTTTATCACATTTAATATTACTTATAAAAGTTTTTTTAATTTTATAATTTTCTTTAATATTCGCATCGTTAACTTCTTTAATCACAAATATTTCTTTAAATTCAATATATGATTTATATCTTTTAATTTATAAGACTTTGTACAGTCTTCATATAAAAATTGTAAAGAAATTACATTAACATTTTTAGTTACAATTTTTAAATTTTTATATATTTTAGTACAAAATATGTCCTTTATATTTTTAATTTCACAAAAAATTTTCCTGTTAAGCCAATTAACGCCTTTCCAATTTTGATAAGAGTTAGAATCAAAATCAGATTCAAATAAATATGGTATTATACTTAAATCGACTAACTTATTTGTCAGTAATTTTATTGCAAGATTTATTTTGAGTTTTGTTATGATAGTTAATTATTATGTTTTTGATCCCACTTTGGATCATATATCTATTTTGATCTTTAAGTTATTTTATTATTTTTATATTATTGTATAACACATTTTTTTTATCTCTAACCGTCTTTTGGTTATAACTTTATTATCGATGTCTTCTGCCTCACATACAGTTTTTATCATCTCATTAATTTTATCTAAATCTTTTATCATCTCATTAATTTTATCTAAATCTTTTATCTTATAAATTTTTTGTCCTTAGATTAACTTTGTTCTTTACTATTTTTGGATATAAAATTTTAGGTTTTTTATTTTTTATTCAGCCTCTGAGCTTTATCGATTAATTTGGGAATTTCATCATTTCTATCATTGTCTCAATATTAAATTTATAATTTATCGGTTCGTTTATACACTTAATTTATTTTTATAATATATGAATTTCTCTTTGCTTAAATTAACGGTGTCCTTTTTGTTTTATGTAATTTTTTTATTTATTTTTCATTGACCTTGTACTTTGAACTGTTTTATTATGGTCTTTAAAGGTTTTAAATTATATTTTTATTTATCTGTATTATATTTTTATTTTTCTAACAATGACCTATGACGATTAAAAAAAGATATCCCGATGGCCATGACATTGTCTTAAATATTAACTAACTTGATAAATCAAATAAATAATTGACTAAAAGAATGACAATAAGAATATCATGAAAATAATAAATTGTTTATATATTTTTACCTTTCTTTTTTTTTTATTGAGAAGCTAGCATGTTCATTTTATATATTTTTTAGATAGGATCTGTAGACTGATTTATTGGATTTTTATAGTTTTTTACGAAGTTAATTTAGATTTAATATTTTACATCTTTCTTTTAATTTAGTATTTGGTTCCTAACTATAAGTAGTGTCGGATCCCACCATTGTCTGCCACCATGCTAATGTGGTGGCAAAATTATAAAAAATATCGATACAAAATTACTTTATTTTAAATTTATTTATTATAAAATATAACTAACTGTTTATTAACCTAATAAATTCTATATATATACTTTTCAAAAGTAAATAACAATCAATGTAACTATTAGATTAATATTATGTTAAGTGAAAGAAATAATATAACAAGTCCGTAGGTTAATATAATTTAAAATAAATTTCGAATGTATTAACCAATGTTAAACCATTTTCAATCATTAAAATATATTGTCACCTGAGTTAGAGGTTATTCTATCTCCATTTTTGTCAAAAATAATTTTTTTTGATCGATTGATTATTTAAGAATACATTAATCTATTTACATAAAAAAACCTTAGAATTTTAACTTATAAAATAAATTATAGCTAGTATTAGATTTTTCTATCTCCCTATTTTTTCAATATTATTCCATTAACAAAGAATAATCAATTCATGCAGCATGTTTCTTTAAAACGTTTTCAAGTATTATGTAAATGGAATTAAGAGTTTTTAACTGTATGGTTTTATATAAAGATCCTGATATTACTGGTTCAAAAAATTAAAAATTAAAAAGAATATTTTTTTATTATTATTTTAAGAAAAATAATATTACCATAATTTTTATTCATTCCATTAAAATATATTAAAATTTTTAAAATGAAATTTTAGTCTGTTGTCTTTACAATGGTAATTATTATTATTAAATAAAATTTTTGGATTTAAAGAGAAGTTGTTTGGAGAATAGAATAATATTTCTTAAAATAAAATTTGATATTTATTCTATCTCCATTTTAAGAATAATAATAAAAATGATTTTTTAAGAAATATATCATGGTATTTTATATAATTAAATTAAGTGATGAGGAACTATTAAATATACACATGAATTTCTTATACCTACACTTATCTCAAAAAATCATTTAAATGCTTTAAGACCTTCATAAATACTCTTTTGAAAATATGGGGTCAACCTGATTGTGTCCCAAAAACTCTGTGGTGGTATCCATCCCATTGCAATTGTCTATTTAGAAGATTATTAGCATAATTACCATGGGTTAAAATCCAGGGTCTTAATTTATTAGGTATACATAGCAATTAGGATTAAGTGTTAAGGGAGAAGTCAAAATAGCATGCCATTCGTATTATTTCAGAATCCTCTTCCTAGATATTTTCAAAGTATACTTTAAAAATGCTTTTGATAACAAATTTCGAGAACATTTCATTAATTGTTTTACTCATAAATTCCTAGAGACATACTGTGACATTAAAACTCTCCTTTATTCAACCCAGATTAGACTCTGATGAGGATCCGGCAGGGGGTATATGTCCTCTCTTATTTTACCTTGGCTATCAAAAATAAAATAATTGAAGTTAAATATCTTTGAAGCCCATTTTAAAAGACTTATTCTTAATAAATCCAAACTGCTTCCAATGATTCAATAAGTATGATGTTTTTAATTTAACAACTCCAAGGGTGTAACTAAACTGAGTATGATATAAATGCAAATTACTTATATAACCTTTTTAAAATATATAATCATACAAAATGCAAGCTAAATTTCTTGATTTGATAGATTTCTTTTTATTGATAATTTATCTAAATAAAATTTGTTAGATTTTATAGTTATGAAAAATGAATATTTAGCCTGCAGCCCAATATTTTAACGCCTTCTGTGGGTTGAGTATATAAAAGTTAATTTCCGTAGTATGAATAATTTAAAAAAAATAATATAACTAAAAGAATAACTAAAAAATTTAATATGAAGATGGTAAAATGTGTTAGAATGGTAGCTAAATTGAATGAATGTAGTGTTTGGTATGATGATTACCATTGAACCGATTACACTAAATTCATTTTTATTGGATAAATATTTTATAAAAGAACACTATTGGCTAAATTTATTGATGTTTTTTGGATTATTATATATTAATATAAGTACATTAACAATCAATCAACAAACAATTTGGTACAAACGATTAGGTAAAAAAAATTGACAATTGTTATTTTTGGCTGCTTTATATTTCCAGTATTTAAAAAAAATCTGTATAATAACAAAATTGTCATTATTTTTTAAATTTTGTTAATATTTAATAAATTCTATCAGCTGTTAAATCGTGTCGCATTGTATCCACTATGAATTAAACTTAATTAATGTTTAGAGTTTAAATATTATAGATATATTATATAGAATAGAATAGGACTTAGTTTGTATTATTATTCTATTGTTTTTGACAAAATATCCCAGAACATGATTGTTCATCGTGCGATTCAACATAATATTCCTGAGTCGCTTGATATTAAATAATATAATACCAATTGAGTCGCGCGGACAAGATAAAATGCGATTAGACGCTTCCATTTATTTATTAGAAACATTTTCATTATAAATTTAAATTTGCGCGATCAAAGTCTATAACCTGTAACTTATATTTATTTTTTAGATATTTAATACAAAAGTTATATCTATTATAGACAAGATAATTTTTATTTTATAGATTGTTTCTATTTTATAAAATAAAGTAATTGAATCAAATATGGTATTTTTTAGTGTTGTTAAATGGCTTGATTTGATCCGCTTTTTTAAAACGGCTAACTCAATATTTTACAGAAAAATAGTGCCTAAGCCTCGATATTTTCCTAATAGATATCCAAAACTTTTATCCATCTGTGAGTAAAATCTTAAGGTTTGAATAATATTTTTCTGGATAAAATATTGAGTTGGCCGTTTTTAAAAATCGGTTAAAATCGAGTCGTTTGACAACACTAATATATTTAATGAAAAAGTATAATTCTTATTCAAAAATTTCTGCATTGATAAGATACTCTTTTTATAAATTTCTAGTTAAACGTGTTATGATTTGCAATTATTTTTTGTTAATTTTATACGGGAACGATTTGATATTAGTCGCTTATCCCTTCCCCTGATAATTTAAAACTTTCCTTACAGTGCTTCAAAATTCAGCGTTTCTTTCGTTTGGCTGAAATGCAAATAATGCATTTTAAAATGGTATTGTAGTGGGTGAAATTTTAATATTCCTAAAATACAGCCCCAAGCGTTTTTTGAAATAGCACAACTTAATCACCCAATTTATAAGTATTATGAATTCCTTATGGACCTGATCTTCCTGATCCTTAAAACACAAACGGGCTTAGATTAATTTATATTTAATAAAATGGGATCATTGTAACTCTGAGTCAATAATAAATTATTCTTATCAATACCGAAAAATTGTAGGGCTATAAGTCCTTCAAAAAACTATATAAAATTTCTATTTGAACATAAAATGGTCACCTTGAAAAAATTAACCCCCTCCCCCCTCCTTCACCTTAGTTAATCATCATTTATTATAAATAAAATATAGAATTTATTAAGTTTTATTATATGACAATTAATGTTATATTATATGCAATAAAAGTAGAAATGGTTGATTTTTTCACTTTTTTTTACCCCTATTATTTTAGGAAAGCTAAAATTTCGCAGTGAATAGAACATGTAACTATCTTGTAAATTTTTTATCAAAATCGAAGGGGGTCGACCGAAAATCATCTTTTTTGTTTTTTTGAAAATAAATTATTGTTTTATTAAATAAAAATGCTATGGATAACATGGTAAAATTTTTTATTCTATCCCTGATGACTTTACCCGCTCTTTAAATGTTACAAATTTACAAAAAAAACTCCTAAAATTCAATTTAAGAAAATGAATGACTTTTGATATTTCACAGATAAGATAATCCAAAAAAACTTATTCTTATTTTTTTTATTACTTTTATTTTTTTCAAGACAAAATGTAAAATAACTTACCCTCCCGGCGACGAAATATACAGAGAAGGGCCGATTTCGGTTTTCGAAGTCGATGGTCGAGCTCAAACTTCTTATTGTCGTAATTTATGCTTGCTCTCAAAACTCTTTATGGAATCTAAAACTTTGTGTTACGAAGTACAACACTTTTGGTTCTACGTTATGACACTGGCTGATTGTACTGGCTGTTGTCACATTGTCGGTTACTTTTCTAAAGTATGTGCATAATTTTACTTATATCTATTTTTCTTTGTCTTTGCCTCCTAAATTTTTTATTTTTATTTTAAAAAATATATAGGAGACTGGGACTAGTCGAACCGATTTTTGCAAAATCGGCTATAACTCCTGTGTTTTTTAGATATTATATAGAATAAATATAAATCGACATATATTACTATACCCTATAAAGGTGTCGTATATATATTTTTAAGAATATAATCGTATTTTTGAAATTTTATTTTTTGTAAAAGTTAAAATTTTACCCAGAAACCCCAGTAGTGGGGTTAAACAAACCACTGAAAGGGACATCCTCAATCATTAGTTTTTTAGACTATAATGAATTGAAATGCATTTTTGTTTATTAATATTGATAATAGATTTATTTGTATTGTTCAAAATATAGTTTTAAATTGAAACTAATTATATATAAAATTGAAACTTAATTTTGGTATAATAAACATTTTGGATATTGATACAAGAGGGGTTGTCTTGAACTATATATGTGGTTTGATCGATATACGAATGAGAATAATTTAATCTTTTACTTTCTTTAAACTTCAAAAATCTATTTTGTAGACATCATTTAGTTATATATACTATATACTTGATCAAATCAATTAATCGGTAATATGTTAAATTGATGCCTCAAAATTAAAAACATTTAAATGGACATGTAAAGTCAAAATATAATTTTACATTTATAAACATTAAACTTTAAATTGAAATAAAACATTATTTTATAATAATTACAATCATGTAACAGATATATAAAAATAAGTATCTTAAGGAGAGATTATGATTTTTTCGCATAAATTATAAATACCAATTATACACAGCCATGAATATTTTTCAAAATATTGAAATTTTTTTTTTCATATTAAGTGCCATAATTGACTTGTATGATGTAGCAAACCCCCTTGACTAACTAATCATGATTGAAATAATATCTAGAGAAAATAAATCTCATAAAACTTTCTCATATTATATAAGAGAGTTTAAACTTTGCTATTTAATTTACAAATAAATGATTATATGACTTCATAGAAATTAAAATTATGTCTCTTAAAAATCTTTTGAATTTGACATCAAATTTATTTCTTAAATAAAATTTTTAATAATTAATTATTTCAAATGATTTTTTTCCTATAGAATACATACTAATAAAAGCTATATTAGGATAAAATTTAACCTTTTAGTCTATTTAATTTTAAAATAAGATTAAGTGGTTTTCTAAGCTCGGAGTTCACCCAATCCTAGTCTCCCCTACTTTTTAAGGATGCAGAGTATAATCAGAGATGCACTTTTACCATTTTTTTTGCCAATATCAATGACCTGATAGTGCCAGATATCGGTTGATACCTAACATTGATACTTATATAAATAAATTACTGAAAATAATGACAATAACAACTATATTTTATTTAAATTCATATTATTAATTTAATAATTTATCATGGAATAAAAATCTTTTCTGATAGTTATTAGTAACTTTTTTTAAAAAAACACCGAAAGATATATTAGCATTTTTATTTTGAGGTGATTTCAAAAATGTAATAAAGCATAAATGTTAAATATCAGTCTGAAAAACAAGGAGAAGTTGCTCTAAAAAACTCAATTTTTTACGATATATTTTTCAGGAAAATATAATTTTTAAGTGTATTTTGCATCGAAAAATTATTTAACTAACTTTTATAGGGTTGGCTAATTTGGTCTCGGCTAAAATAAGTTACCCGATCATCTTTGATTTTATTATTGATATTGTGATTCAATAAAATACAGTGTATAAATGTCATTATTCTGACCTATAATTTTATTGAAGCAAGTCCTTACCTATTATTATTATTAAACAATAAATTATAAAAAAATATAATTGAAAGAAAAAAATTGAGATAATATTATGAAATAAGGATCCTTTATTTTACTATATTTTTTTTAAAAAATAATTATTGTGTATTTTGCAGAGTTGTTAAAAGATACTTTTTAAATGGATCTAGATACAGATACAACGTCTAAAATAATATCTAGATACAGATTATTTAATCAAAAATCTATCTAGATACAGATACCACATTTTTATATCTGGTATTTTGACTAGATGTGAAAATATAAATTTGATAATTGCATTTACCAAAAAAAATTTGATAGGAAAAACAAAATTTTCAAAAGAATACCGTTTCCTGCGTATTGATACTGCCGCATTTTATGAGGAAAGGATTTGGATGGAAATTGATCGATTTTAGTAATTTTAATATTGAACTTTAGCATCATATATGTGAAAGAAGAAAAAATACGAATAAAAAAATATTAACATAATTTATGAATTGACAAGAATTTATTTATAATACATTTGGTCTACAAATTAATCCTATAAAAAATATTAAACATTAATAGGTTATTTATTAGCCCGAACGGAAGATAAAATAGGATCGCCCGAGAGGCCTTTATCAGACCACGGTTTAGTAACATACAGAAGTTATTGGAATTCCATTATACTTAATTACTTGTCGGGCAAATGTCAAGACGATAAAATTTCCATCAAAGGTGATAAAATTCGCTGAAATATTATTTATTGCATATGTAAATTTTTTTAGCACTATCTTAGAGTTTTATTGTATTAATATCTTTATTTTTTAAAAATCCAAATTAAGAAAAGAATATATATACAGGTTTAAAAAGGGGCATATATGTTTGAAAGAAGGGAAATATCCCCCCAGGGAATATCACTTAAACAGTACTAAACCGAACTCTCATGTTCACTGACAACTTGAATTTTTTAAAAGGTAGCAGAATACTCTTTATATTTGCTATATATACTTGGTTCCTTCGGCAGGTTAATATATAATCGGACCCTGTTCGGCACATTCTCTGCTTCTCATTGTAAAAAAAGATTTAACCAACATTAGATTAGAATATTTGTTGCATTCTCAATTATATAAATCCATTTGACTAATTTGAGTACCTTAGTTTAAAAATATTAGCCAAAAATTATCAAGGACTTACACTACCTGAGGTTCCAACCCAATCCCAATTTTTTTTGTGGACCAGGTTTAAATGTTAATTTTAATTATTTTTGGTCATTTATTATAATTTGACAATATTTTTGATAAATTGTTTAAACTTTGTGAGAGTTTCATCAATGTAAAAATACCTCGCATAAATTTTACGATCTTCCATTTTTTCTTATATAAATAATGCTTATATGGCAATTAAATGGTAACAGTATGTGTTAATTTTAATCATAACCATTATACTTCAAGTTAAAATGTTTTCTTGGTGGCACCATTTAATTAATTGAGAAGTTAACTCAATTAAGCAAAAAATATTTTTATTATTTTTATATATTTTCTTAACAGATTTAAGTCAAGATTCCGGAATTCATACTGATGACATAATAAGCACTTTACAATTTTATAGGTTACTAAAATCATGGAGAGGCAATCATATTATACTGAAAAATGTAAAATGTCACAATTTTAAAATATTCGTGAGCTTTATAGTAAAAAATTTTTTATACGAAAGTAAATATTTAAGAGAAGATTAGAAAGAAGGAGACACCTATTTTGTAGTATTATTAAACTAACCGATTTAGGTCGATTTTTAAAATTGGCCCTATTAAGATTTTAGCCAAAATAATATTAAAGTTTGGAGATTTTATAGATGGCAGAAAGGTTTAGGGCTCTATTTGCTAAGTCTTGTGGTTTACATAATATTTCAGCAAACTTAATCAGGCTGTTATAATCGACATAAATCGCACCGTTTAACAACACTGCTATTTTGATTCAAGCTACAAGACATAATTAGTTCTCAAATAAGATAATATTTTCTTTTAGATTAATTATTTTAGGTCTCAATTAGTCTTTTATATTTTCAAGGAATTAGAAGAACTCAAAAATCTATCTAAACAAATTTGGCGAAACTTACCTGGAAAAGTAGATTCTAAATTTTTACATTGGATTCCCAAATGAAGGAAATAAAATTCACAATTTTACATAAATTATTAGCTATGATTATAGTGTTCTTTTTTATCAATATTTAAACTTATATTGCAAATAATTTATTGAATTATATAAAAATTATTTTAAATAAAAAGGGATATCGTTTGATTGGATTTCATTTTTTTATACTATGCAACCTTACCTCATACATTATAATTTTTATAAATTTCTTAATATCTAAAGAAATATAGTTAGTTTTTTTTATAAATCATAAAAATATTATCGTGAAAATAACTGAATGCATTATAATGGCTGATTTGATCAGTTAAAAAGAAAAAATAGCGGAGAATATTTATTATAATAGTTTTTCGTTTACTACTGACATCTAATATTTTTTTATTATATTTTTTTGAAAGGGTGCAAAAGATAATTTGATGTTAAATGTTAAAATTTTCTTTTAATTTTGTAAAAGCTTTTTTTAAATTTCATAGTTTGTCAGAGTTTTATGACAAATCCTGAGTTATAACTGATTATTTTTATATATGATATGAATACCATAATTTGAATATATTAATATAATTATAAATTGGATAATTTTTAGCCTGACCACTCCAGATTTCTTAAAAAAAAATTTTTATTAATAGAAAAATATTAAATTTTAACTCTCAACACTTTTCAATTTCGGAGTTGTATCCTTGCTTAGTTGAATACCTTTTAATTGAATATTTCAACTTAATTAATTTAAGGGTTATGAGGAATTAAAGTTTCTTAAATTTTATGTGCTTTGGTGACTCGATTAATTTATCACTATGTTAAATTAAAAATATATATTAATCTATAATTAGATCAAAGTATATTCTAAAAAAATTAGGTCGGGCACGCAACCAGTTTTCGAATTAAGATTTTCTAAAAGGACATTAATGACACAATTTATCTAAATCCATACCTTATTTAAATGACTAAGGCAAATGGTCTCAAATTCTAGAATTTTAGATTATTCTATGATAAATATTGTGACCTATCATGGCGCTTGTTACATTTTGGGAATCTTATCTTATTAATTTTTTATTATAATTTCATTCGATACAGTGGCGTAGCCAGGATTTTTTTTATGGAAGGGGGTGGGAGTGTGATATTTTATGGAGACTTCGTCCCCTACCCCTGTTTGCATGGCCTCTGCCGGTATAATTTGTGAAAGTGATCTGAGATTTCGAAATCTTACACCATCAAAATCCCATGGATGGGTTGTGAGATTTTATTTAAATGGCCCTCAATGTTTTTGAAGCGATAAATCTAAAGTAAAAATTTTCATAACATGAATTTTAAATAATTTATAATATAGTGGTATAAAATCTAACTGTTTATAGAATAATATTTTAATAATGCTTTGCAGGAGATATATTGTTTCATTTCAAGAGCTCTCATCTTTATTTTTTTTAAGATTATTAAGTCAAATAATGAAAAATGTAAATTCAAGAAACATCATTAGAGTTAAGGATATAATAAAATTTCTCTTTTTAATAATATAAATATAATTGCTTATGACTAAATAGTCGATTATTATAATATAATACAAATATAATTGAATGTTAGATCTGTAGTGACTATTCTTGTTGGCAAGAGTCTACATTATCTACCCTGAAAATGTGAGTTCGAATCTATGTTCATCCAAATATTTTTTTAAAATTGTAAATCTGATTCTTTTGCTTTTTTAATGTAAATCGGTATAATATCCAAAAACCCGATGCCGCCTATTTTTAGTCTGTATTTCATACAAAAAAGTGCCTGGGATGATATGGTTCAGATTAGTGATAGGCTCCACTCAATAACCATTAGTGTTATCTTAGCAATAATGAATATTACATAATTTATCATTTGTAATTGGAAATATAGCTTAGAAATATTGAGGAAGGGAAAAGATTCTTACTGAAATTCTTATTTATACAATATGAAATTTATAAAAATTGTAAAACAAGTTTGTCTGCATCCCAAAAAAGTTTGGGAGGCTTTAGACCATATATTTTGGCATGAAGCCTTTGTTGTAGGAAAAAGATATCTAGGAATACTTTCTAATTTATTTATTCTCAAAATATCAACATCTAATTAAAATAAATCAAATATAATAAGAAATAACATTAACTATGGGAGTCTTTTGATAAAATCCATAACAAGGTGAATATTTTCATCTTCAAGTTCAATATTTTGGGAACCAATATCAATGCATTAATTATAATAAAATCATTTAAATTACTTATGTTATTAAATATTAATTTTTTTATCTCATAAAATATGTGATTTTTAAAAAATCATTTTCATCTGGATATTCATTGTTCGCACAATAAATTCTTTTAAATTGCATTGATTGTATATTTTTTTTTAATATGGCATTCTTTGTTACAAATTCATATACATCTTGATTTACAATAAATAATTTATATGATATAATATTATTACCCTTATCAAATATTTTATTGATCAAATAAAAAATTATCCAGGGTTTCAACATTCCCTAAGTATTTCAAATTAAAATATATTATATAGAAATGTTTTCAATTTGACACCATCATTCAAATCTGATGTTTTAAATTTGAGACAATTTAACCTATTAAGCATATTGAAATTCATAATGTGAGATTTTTAAAAAATCCATGAGATATAGAAAAATTGAATAGCAGTGAGATTTTGAGTATTTAAATGGCCCCCAATGTATTTGAAGTGATAAAAATAAAAATCTCATGAAATCATTTTCACACGGTATTAGCCGTGAGATTTTGATGGTGTGAGATTTCGAAATCTCACGGTAATCACTTTTACACGTTACGTCTAAAAAATTTTTTTTAAAAAATCCGGTTAGGCTGTTCTATGTTTTTCGTTCTATATGTATGGTGCAACTTATTTTTACATTGTTTTATTTTTTAGAATTAAAAATAATAATATATAAAACTAGACTATTATAAATAAATTACTACCAATTTATACTCTAATAAAATTATGTTTAAAATCTTTTTACATATAAAACTAACTATATTAGTGAATGAAATATCGTACAAAGCGAGAAGAAAATAACAGAAAGAGTCTATGATAGCTTCTTGGAAAGTAAACTAATACAATATTCGAAATTATTCATAAATATTATTATTTTTATGAACAAGTTACTTTAATACTAACCTACTATCGTAAAAATTACCACGATACAAGATTTTAAATAATATCAGAATAATTTGAGCCTTAGACAAGATATTTTTTTATTGTAAAATCATCATAAAACATTTAATACAAATATATTCCTGTAAAATAATTTTTTTTTAAATATAGCATTCATTAACTTGAGTTATCCAATATATAACTTTGGCCACAAGTCTCAATTTTGATGGGAAAAACTTGCAAATAGTACTAATTGATTTTGGTAGATTTTCACTTTCTTCCAATGAGTTATCTCTGATATGTCCATATATAGGGTAGTTTTGACTTATCATTTTTAATTTTTACGAATAAAGTGTTCTAGTTCTAATGATAAAAATTAAATAACAGGAAATAAAATTTATTATTTGCAAGCGCACCTAAATATACTAATTTGGATACCTAAATCGTAATATTTACAAATGTGTAGTATTCCTCCCGGGTTAAGAATTTAACATGTTCCTTGCGAAACTTTTAAATAACTTAAATTTTACTAAACTATTTTTTCATTTTTGAAAATCTTTTTAAAGAATTTAATTTTCGAATCGAATGTTTTAATGAATCAAACGAAAAATGTTTTTATTATTCGTATGAATACGAATAAGAAATTATTCGAATCGTACGATAAGAATAATACAAAAATTCGATCCAATCGAATACGAATAATGCAAATATTGGATCCATATTATGGAAGGTATGGTAACAAAAAAACTGAAAGCAATTTGACTAGGTTTTTGTAATAGTTTAGGTTTTGTTATAAGGAATATATCAACCAAATTTCAAGATTATTGATTTGATATTTTTTAAAATATTTGCAATTTGTTGAGCATGGAGGGTATGGGGTAATTCCAGACGAAAAACGAAAAAATATGCATGAGCCAACAATTATTTTGCATAATAAAATTATAATGATGGGGGATCCCACTCATAAAATTATTTATGTTAACAGTAATTCTTTCACAATTTTTTGGTAGTTTAAATAAAAAGGTTTAATATAGAACTGGTTTCTTCTATATATTTTTTTTAACAAGTATCATGTATCGTTCATTAATATCATTAGGTAAGATCATACTTTACTTAAAACGTATAATTCTGATTTTTTGCTGCTATTGACAAATAATTGACTTTGATAATTTTCAATGGTGTTTTAAATTATATAAACACAATAAACAAAATTAGATAAATCATAAATAGCTAAAATTGCCAATTTTTCTTATATATTCTCTTTGATAATAATATATTAGTATAGAGTGGTAGTTTTTTATAATATTTTCAAACATCTGCATGGTATAAAAAGTTAAAAAATAGCGAATATAATAATTGTCACTTTTCTATGGTTCATCTTCACTAAAATTTTAATTTAACATGGTTACAATATATATTTTTACCCATTTATTTCAAAAAAATTTAAAAATAACGACTATGGCAATTATCACTTATCTATTATACATCCTCATTTTATTTTAATTTAACATGTTTGCAATTTATATTTTTACCCATTTGCTTCAAGAAAAATAAAAAATGTTCAAAAATAACCATTATGACAATTGTCGCTTTTATGGTACATCCTCATTTAAATTTTAATTTAACATTTACAATTTATATTTTTACTAATTTGTTTCAAAAAAATTCTAAAAAGTTAAAAAAATAAGGATTATGACAATTGTCGTTTTTCTATTGTTCATCTTCCCTCGGGGGTTCAAACCAAAACCAATATCGGTCCAGGTTCGGATAAAAATAACGGTTCAGGGTTCAAGTTTGGTTTGCAAAAAATATCGGTTCTGTACGAATAAAACCGGTTTGAACACTTTTATATTCAAACCTACATTCAAAATATGTATAGGGAGAATTTTTTTT